CCAGTGACGCAGCACACTGCACAGTAGCGCCTCCGCGCGAGGCGCGCTGGGAAAAAAGAGTCCCACCTCGCTTGCGCAGCCAGAGCGTGCGCACAGCCTCAGTCTGCGCCGCGGTGACGTATTCCGTAGCGGCGAGTGGCCCCGCCCCCTTCTCTGGCGTGGGAGAAGCCGGCTTGTCCCGTACCCGGCTCTGCCGCGCGCCCTGTGGATTGTTTACGTCTTGCTCAGTCTTCTCTTCCTCTTCGTGGGGGTCCCCGCTGTCCCAGGCGCTCCAAAGAGCCCACACTCATCCCCCTGCAGCCTAACAATTTAGAAGCGGCCGGGGGAGGTGAGCGGGGGATCTTTAGCCTGTGTTTGACACGGGGCTGATTTCAGAACTGGAGGAGAAGTGAGTGTGGGCCTCTTGGCAGTCTCATTGAATGATTTAGGCCTTACTCTACTAACAACGAATCCTTAATGCTCCACAGCAGTGTTTTATTCCAGAGTTTCCTAACATAAAAGGAATTAATTTGGATTAACAGCGTTTCTACATACTTTTCCCCTATTTCTCATTTTTGTGTATGGGATGTTGTGGAACAGCCCATATACTTGACAGCTCTTGCACCCTAGCAGAAAGGGCTGAACCTGTGGCAGTAAAGTCATTAAATAACCTCCCTGAAAAAATCCTGAGTCCACTGACCATCTGTGCAGCCCTATTGGCTTAACTATTTGGTCGTGGCTCTTTACCATTAACTAGGGCTGGGGTGGGCAATAACTTTTGCAAGGGGGCCATTTAATGAATTTTGGTATATTATCACGAGCCAGCTCCACTCCTGAAAGAGAAGGGTCTGGGGTCGAAGAGGCAGGGCTGGGGACTTGCCTCCCCCCAGAGTTGTCTGGGGCCAAAGGCTTTGAATTAAAAACACAGCAATGGATTCATGGATCCTGGCCCTGCTGCTACTGTGTTGCCTGGCAGCCACCTGGAGTTGCTGTGGCTATTTAAAGGACTCACCACTCTTGCCCCTTCCAGGATAGCACTGCAACCTGGCACTATTTAAATAGGATCCTGTTGCTCTGTTATGCCTTGTTAAATGAGGTTTACCGGAGTGGTTGACAAAAGCTTCCCTTGTCGACTGCAGCGCGTCCAGACTGCCCCGCTGTGCCACCAAACAGCTGATCGGCACAGCGTGGCAGCCATTTTGATGTAAATGAAGCAGCGATTATTTAAATCGCCGCTCATTTCCCTATGTCAAGTAAACTCATCTACGTGGCTCCGTCGAAGGAGCCATGTAGTCTAGACATACCCTAGGAGCCCAGTATAATCACTGACAGCTAACCCACCTGCTGAATTCCAGTTGAACCTGCTGCTCCCTGCACTCCATTCTCTGATCTAGGGCTTACCATTGCCAATCATTTGTGAGCAGGATTCTCAGAAACCGCTATTCACAGTCCACTCTTCTTTCAAGCTTCTCCAATGCAATGTAAATACAACCACAATTTTGGTACTGCTGTCAGATTGTGGGCAGGACAGCTGCCATTATGAGACTGAGGCAGACATCTCTCATGAGGAAGGGAAATATTAAGTCAGGTAGACCGCCCAGCCTGATCACGTTTAAGGTGAGAAAGAAACACCCACACCCAGAATTTCCTGATTACTCTCTTGAGTTGGTAGGGAACATTACACCCACATAAAGACATGCCAGCTCACTCTGCTAGAAAGGAAGGAAACTCACAACCATGCAGTCCTGCCTGTTTGCTCTTATGATGGGAAAGGAGAAATGGTCACACCCACAGCTACGTACAGGCCTGCTTGATCACATAGGCCATGACTACACTGCAGAGTTTTTCTGAAAAAACTTCACTTATGTCAACACTGAAATTGAGTTCTTTTGAAAAAAATCGAAAGAACAAAGGGTTTTTTCCGACATTGGTAAACCTCTTTCTATAAGGAAGAAGCCTTTTTCCGAAAGAGGCATGTGTGGACGGGAAGAGGGAGTTCTCTTGAAAGAAGAGGAAAAGGCACGGGGGCCTTGGTGGCCACTCTGTCCATAGTAATCACAGCTTAAATGCGAGATAGCATACATTCGGTGTGGGTGCTATCTTTCAAAAAAGCAGATGGCTTTTTCAATGCACTTTTGCTGTGTAGACGCTCTCTTTCGGAAGAAGTTTTTCCAGAAGATCTCTTCCGGAAAAGCTTCTTCCGAAAGAAGCGTGCAGTCTAGACATAGCATAGTGAGGAAGGAGCTCGTAATAGTAACTTTAATTTATTACAGCAATTTTCGTCATAAAGTGATATGAAAATTATACAAAGTTATGGGGTTGGATGAAAATTTGTTTTCAATAGCACAAGCTTGCAAAACCCAACACTCAGGCTGTGTCTAGACTGGCAAGTTTTTCCGCAAAATCAAATATTTTGCGGAAAAACTTGCCAGCTGTCTACACTGTCTACTTGAATTTCCGGAAAAGCACTGATGATCTCCTGTAAAATCATCAGTGCTTTTCCAGAAATACTATGCTGCTCCCGTTCGGGCAAAAGTCTTTTTCCGAAAGACTTTTGCGCAAAAAGGCCAGTGTAGACACCATAGTACTGTTTTCCGCAAAAAAGCCACGATCGCGAAAATGGCGATTGGGGCTTTTTTGCGGAAAACCGCGTCTAGATTGGCCACGGACGCTTTTCTGCAAAAAGTGCTTTTGCAGAAAAGCATCCTGCTGATCTAGACGCGATTTTTCCGAAAATGCTTTTAAAGGAAAACTTTTCCGTTAAAAGCATTTTCGGAAAATCATGCCAGTGTAGACGTAGCCTCACAGAAAAGCATAAGATATCTTTTAACCCCAGAGACCCAATTGATTCTAATAAAAACATTTATTAATTTCTGGTGAATAAGACTAATTAAATACATCTTTAAACATTTAAAACAATGTTATTCAACTAATTAAAGAAACATCTGTGGCATGAATGGACTAGAATATTCTTACAGTAAATTGTCTGCAGTAACATACATGTAGCACTAAAGCAGAGAGGGTTTTTTTAAAGCAAGAAAACATCAGTAATATAAGTGGCACATTGTTCCTTTATTTATTTTCTACTTGG